GCCTTGGTCTGCCCCACCTCAGTGCCCTCCAGGGACAGTGGGATCAGAGCCTGTGAGCAGAAACAGCAGCTCATCCTGCAGCCAGCCCACAGCAGCCTCATGTACGAGGCAGCAAGTCTGGCCCCTGCAAAGCAGAGCCACCCAGATCGGTGCAGGGTAACAGCACAGTGGGGTCCCATCCCCTCACCTTGCCTCCTCCCTGCGCAACCACGCCACCTCGGTCCTCTGCCTCCTCCACTAGTGCCAGGAACACTCTAGGGACAAAGTGGGAGCAGCTGGAGCACCCAGACAGCTGCAGGGGGCCCAGGCTGCACCGGATTCCTGGACATTCCCATTACTGTCCAGGAGCCGTCATTCACCATGGACACATAAGTTGGCCAGCAGGATGCCAGCAGCCTGGAAACCCAGCTCCCTCCTGTCCCTTGGCACACCCATACCTGGAGATCAGCTCCCGACAGGAGTTGGTGAGCGCCGGGTTCTCACTTTTTACCATGCAGGCCAGAGCCGACACCACGCCGGCCATCAGCAGCTTCCGCACCCGCCGCTTCACGAACTCTGGCTTGTCCTGTCCCACAGGTGGGGTCACAGTTGGCTCAGGGGCACCAGCTGGCTGACCTCACCCCTGTGGGCCCCAAGGACACCCTGTCCCACCCCTCCACTCTCCTCCTGAGCACAGCCATACCCCACTCACCTTGGGGTGCTGCTCTGGAATGTGCTGCTTGGCGTACTTGGCCAGCTCCAGCATCTGCGGGTCCGGCTCCTCATGGTCGTAGCTGTTAGTGCAATTCACCAGCGTGGAGGCGACAGCATAGAGCACACTCCTGTCCTCCGACTGCAGTGATAACGGTCACACATCACACTCGTGGCAGGGAGGAGCAGCCAGGGCTGGAACCCACCCAACATCTTCCACATACCCCACCCCACAGCGTGAGCCCCACACCCCTTCTGGCATGTTTCCCTGGTGTCAGGGTGCCCACCCTGCAGTGCTTGGCACATACCTTGGCCAGGTGGAACATGGCCTGCATTGCTGCCTTGTCCTCCACAAACTCCTCCTTGACATCTGCATCAAAGGTGAGGTAGGCCAGGCCTTCCACAGCCCAGCGCCGTGTGCCTGCGTCGATGGCCTCATTGCAGAGCCACCTGGGAGAACAGTCCTTGAGCCCAGCTGCAGGAGCCCATCTGTGAGGCACCCTGCCCACTCCCTCCGCACCCGGCCCCACTCACTTGCGGCACTGCTTGGCCAGCTTCATGGTGGAGCCCTCGGCAAACTGCTTCATGCTGAAGTCAGTGCCGCCAGCAGATCCCAGCTTGCAGAGCCCCTGCAGCCAGGACCAGAATGTGGGAGCAGGAATGGGCACGAGCACCCCAGTGTGCCTCCCAGACCCCCAGCAGGGAAGGGCAGTGCTGTGAGTGGTGGTCCTGCACCCACAGCCCGCCCCGGGGCTCATCCCCGCCGCTCCTCCATCCCGCCGCACTCACCACCAGCGCACGGATGCGGATGCTGTCCCTCTCGCTGTGCTTGTAGATCTCCTTGAGCAGGCTGACGCCGTTGGCTGTGATGAAGGAGGCACGCTTGGCCTTGTCGGCCGCATGGATCAGCGCCTCCACCGCTACCAGCTGGTGGGCCTCACAGACAGAGGCACACAGGGACAGCACGCTGTCCATGATGCCCTCCAGCTCCAGCACCCTGTTGCCTGCGTCCAAGGGGCCCTGCAGCAGGCATGACACCGTCTGGATGGCCCGCAGCTTCCCCAGCAGTTCGTGCCCCTCGAACCAGCCCCTGTGCACAAAGACCACCAAAAAAGGTCAAGCTGATCCCACCTGCTGCCTCCTGCTCCACCTGCTGAATACCCCCACAGTGGGTCTGCAATAGACTTTAGCACTGAGAGTAACAGGTGCTACCAGGTTGCAGGTGACCGAACCCCCGAGCCCCTGGGACCCCCGGCTCACCTCACATAATCCTCGCACAGGTGGTGGAAGTTTTCCCTCTCGGCATCGCACTTCAGGTCCTCGTACAGTTTGCTCAGCAGGACAGAGGCACTCATCCGGCTGTTCTCCGTCACAGGCAGGCTGCCCGGGCTGCCGCACACCGTGCTGCCCACCTCCAGGATCTTCTTCAGGCCTGGCAGGGGTCAGACACCCTGGTGAGGGGCACATTGGCATGTGCAGAACCATGGCAGAGGGGCACAATGCCCCAGTGGGATGCTACTGGCCATTCTGCTCACCCTGGTCAATCACCCAGAGACTCATGCTGTTGTTGGTCTCCTTTGGTGACTTCCTGGGCACCACCTTGATAAGCAGGTTGAGGGCGTTGTCACGGCCGTGTGCTGAGGCCCCTTCCAGTGCCAGCAGCTCCAGGAGGTGCTTGATCAGTAGTTTCAGGTCCCTAGAGGAATCTTCCAGAAGAGATAGTGCCCAGCAGTCAGTGCCTTGGGCACAGCCTCACCCCCACTGTTGTACAGCTGGCAGAGACGCTGCCATGACCAGGGACTTCTGCCTCCTGTTAACCCTGGACCAAAGCCTGGCTTTGCCACAGGGAGCAGTGACAGGGTGGACAGCAGGAGAAGAGCCCACAGCAGCTCTGCACTTCCCTGGGACTGTCCCCTCCCACCAGCCAGCAAAGGCTGCCCACACTCACCCAGCACCACTGCGTCCTCCTTCCCACGGAAGTCCTTCTGCAGCCCCTCCTTCAGGGAATCGAACATCACATGCAGCAGGTTGCAGGCAGCCAGGGACACCTGCTCATGCTCCACACCCAGCACTGCTGAGAGACGGGGGGCCCCCAGCTCCGCCAGGATGGCCGAGGTCTGCAGGTACAAGCACACCTGTCTGCTGAAGGCCCTGGGGAAGCTTTGGCACTTACCAGCCCCTTATCAGGATTCTTCCCTCTTACAAACTCAGGCCTGGCACATGACAGCTCAGAGCTCCCCTGTCTGACACTTTGTAGCCTCCCCAGCGTGGTTCTCCCCTGGGTGCAGCGGTACCTACCCGGGAGCGGTGGCCGGAGCACAACCCCACCAGCGTGCGCAGGGCTGCCAGCATCAGGTCAGCCTTGGCCGTGTCCAGCAGCTGTGTCAGCAATCGCACACCATCACTCTGGAAGATCTTCTCTGCTCCAGCCTCCTCTCGTGCCAGCACGATCAGGTTCTGCACAGCCTGGGAAAGGAGACTCCTGTCTAGATCACCAGTCCACCGAACACAGGAACCCCCGGAAGCCACAGGCACCCGCCCTCCACCGTCTCGGGGAGCACATTCCACAGGGGGGAGCCTGGTCTGCCCAGGCAGCACTGCTAATCCACTGTGGACCTGAGAGCACTGATCCTCCTCTTCTCACCTCCCAGCCACAGCGCTACCCCCTGCTCCCTGAGCTCAGACCTTCTGCTTCTTGTCCGCGTCCTCTTCTTTAGGATCCAGCAAGATCTGGAACATCTGCTGTACCTTTGAGTCCGTGCAGGACATGGTCTTCATCTGAGAGAGAGCAGAGAGAGCAACTCAGCCCTCCTTGCCTCCCCCAGCTGTCCACAGCCACAGGGGGTCCGGCAGTCCCCCACTTCCCCCACCACTGACCTTCTCGTGCATGCTGCTGCCCAGCGCACGCAGGGCCTCCTGGAAGGCCTTGTTCCTGGGCTCCAGGCTCACGCACCGCTGCAGGTCACCGACGGCCTGGTCCAGGCGGCCCAGCTGCTGCAGCGCCTGGCTACGGCGGAACAGCGCCTTCACGTCCCGGCCGTCGGCCTCAATGGCTGTGCACAAGAGAGTCTATCGCAGAGCCCCCACCCTGCCCTGGTCTGCCCTGGTGGGCAGCACAGAGGCCAGCCCCCCTCAGCCCCACTGACAGTACCTTTAGTTGCATCAGCCTCCGCCTTGGCGTAATCCTCCTACAGAGATTTGGGAGAGGCAAAACCTGAGGGCTGCCCAGGCAGGCCCCACATAGACCAACACCTCCCATTTTGGGGAGCAGGGACAGGCTGGGAACACCGTCACTGCAGACTGTGAGCCAGCCCAGCGGGACACCCTGTCCTTCCCAGAACGCAACCCTCAAGGGATCCCTGTGGAGCCCTAGGGCCCCCGATGCTTTTCAGGCCCCTGAAACTCCTTGTGTTCCCCCCTTGCCTCAGAGACAGTTCCCCAGCAGGAGATCAGAGATGCTGTGACTGCCTGGGGACAGCCCCAGGGCACATGCACAGCCCAGGCACAGACGGGAGCATCCTGGCCCCCAAGCCCACCTGAGGTGAGGCAGCAGGGGACAGCGGGCAGGGACAGTGGAAAAGGTGAGCAGAGACAACATCTGATAGTGCCCTGTCTAGGACCAAGAGCATTCTACTTGGGGACCGACACTGCCTCCGGCGCAGGGAGCACCTGGCCAAGGCAGACAGCCCCAGCCGGCCGGGCAGGTTCTGCGGGGCCGCCCCGCCCCGCGCTCACCAGTTTCAGGTAGCAGGCGGCCCGGTTGCGGTGCAGCACAGCGCGCTCCGGCGCGGCGTCGCTCAGGCTCAGCGCCTCCGTGTAGGCAGCGAGGGCCGCGCCGTGGTCCCCCGCCTGGAACAGCGCGTTGCCCCGCGCCCGCAGTTGCTCCGCCGTCACCTGCCGACGGGAACCGGTTGGGACGCGGCCCCGGGCCCCGCATCGGCGGCTGCCCGGAGACGGGCCCGGGATCCCGGGACAGGGAGCCCCCGGGACAGGGAGCCGCCCGCCCCAGCACGCCGGTCTCAGCCCCGAGCCCCCCCGGTCCCGTCCCGGTCCCGCCCGTCCCCGCTCACCGGCTCCTCCATCGCGCTCGTGACGTCACCGCCGATCGCCCGGGGAACCCGGACGCCACCGCCCGTGTCACGTGACGGGGCGGGGCCGAGCCTGCAGCGCCGCCCCGCGGCCCGGCGGTCCCGGCACCAAGCGCCTGCGGCCTCGTGGCTGTCCCCGCGCGTCCCCCCGACACCCCCCGTGCGGCACCCCGGGGGCGAGTGCCACCACCCCTACACCCCTGCCCCACCCGCGGGACCCCCTCAACAGCCCCGGCTGGGGCGTGGCAGGCTGGGGGCACCGTGGGAAGGCTGGGGACGGGGCAGGTGCCCTCCCCGGGGTCTGCAGGGTGGGCAGCGGGTGCAGGGCAGGAGGCGGCCGAGGTGGAAGCGTCGGGTCCAGTAGAAGTGGCAGAGGTCGATGGCCATGAGCAGGAGGACAAGGAGCCCGTAGAGCCCAACGAAGGGCAAGGCCAGTGGGTTCCTGCGGGGGGGGTGCACTTCAGGAGGGGGCAGCCATGGCCTCCCCCAGCACAGCGGCACTAGGGAGGGCCACCCAGGGCCCAGTGTGGGCTCCAAGGGACATCACAGGCCCAATGCCAACAGCCACAGGAAGTCCCTGGGGCTGTGCTGGGATCCCCGAGCAGCACACCCAGCCACAGTCCTGCTCACCGGAGTAGCTCAGGGCTGGCCAGGCTGGAGAGGTTCACCCCGGTGAGGGCCTCCAGGGCCAGCTGGGAGCAGCAGGACTTGAGGGCGCGCGGGCTGGGCTGGCAGCAGTAGCGGTGGCCGGGAGGGTCAGTCAGCCGTGGGCAGTAGAAGCCGGGGTGGGAGTGGCCGTCACGGCCAACGTAGCCCTCGCAGAGGTGCAGGTTCTGCACTGAGACTGCAGCGGGTAGCAGGGGCTTGGAGAGGGCCAGGAGGGAGTCCCCACTGCATGAGCCACAGAGCCACACGGTGCTGGCAGGACAGGCTGCCAGCTCCAGCAAGGTGGCCCTTGCAGGGATGCCACAGAGCAGAGCCTTCCCAGTCCCAGCAGGGATGAACTGGAGCTCACTAGCCCCAGGGGACCTGGCTAAAATGACACAGGGACCCTTGGCTCAGCTCTCAGCGTGGGCTCCAGCCCCCCGGCAGTGCCTGCTGCAGCCACGGCCCTGTGTGTGCCGTGACCACCAGTGCTTGCCATGGCCTCAACAAGGGCAAACATGGGGGAGGAGGGTGATGGTGGCAGAGGGGAGGGGAAAGCCCTCGGGGACATCAGGTCAGCCCCCATCTCTCCATGCTGAATCTTTCCCTGTTCCCCATGACCCCACAGGGACAGCACTTACACCCCACAGATGTGCTGCAGTGGGACCAACCCCAGCACCACCACACCTCAGCCACCATCCCCAGCATGAACCACCACCTCCCACTGTGGACCACTGCCTCCTAGCACAGATGCCCCCAGCCTCTGTTCTGGGCTGTCAGGGAGCAACCCCCAAGGGACAAAGCTTCGTCAGGGATGGGGAGGACAGGTTCAGGGAACAGAAGGGGCAGGAGTGGGGCTGTACCTGTCCCAAGGATGCTGGGGAACAGAGCCGTGGTGAGGAGCAGCTGGAGCAGGAGCCCACCCAGCATCATCCTGGCCGACACTGAGCAGAGGCAGCTCCAGTGGAGGCAGAAACCACAGCCACTCCTGCTCCCGCCTCCATCGCAGCCCATCAAGAGCCGCTCAGAGCCATTAGAGCCTCCTGCACTCACTCAGGCTCAGTCCGCAGGGATCAGGGCGGAGGCGGGAGCATCAGTAATGAGCTTCTGGGGCCAGGAGCTCCTTCCCCACCCAGCCACGGATCAGCAGCCACAGGGTCCAGGGCCCTGGTTGGGCACTGGGACCCGTCCCAGGATCCAGGAGTTATGGCGAAGGCCGTGGGCCAGGCCAGGGCATGGGGTGAGTGCCTGGCACCAGGTGGGGGCAGGTCGCCTGTGCTGCAGTCCCTCAGCACCCACTCCCTCATCACCCACCCCTGGGCAGGGCCCTGCGCCAGCCCTCTGGCCCCCTGCCAGCCATGACATTAGCCAGGCTCCAGCAGAGGGTCTCCATGCCAGGCATCCTCCAGGTGCTGCAAAGGGCCGAGCTGCTGGGGCTGGTCCATGCTGGCTCCATGAACTCAGCCCCTTCCAGGGCTGTGGGATGCAGGACCATGACCGAGCCTGTAGCATGCAGAGGTGCCGAAGGCTGTGCAGGAATCATGGAAGCACAGAATCATTTAGGTTGGAAAAGACCTCTAAGTTCATCGAGTCCAATGAAGCCAGAGCTGAGGGAGCTCCCCCGGCCTCCCCCTGCAGCCCTCCCCGCTGGCAGTAATTAGCCCCAGGGGCCAGGGAGCTCGCAGCCCCTGCGGTTCCCACAGCAACCAGGAGGATGCTCTGGTGAGGTGGCATCAGCACCTGCACCTCAACTGCTGCAGCCTCAGCAGAGACTGGACTGCCAGGCTCACACTGAAACGGGGCTAAAGGCTCTGGATTTGGGAGAGGCCATTGCCATGCTTCCCCCCCGTCACTGCTGCCAGCACAAGGAGCTGCCTGACTCCTGTCCCCCTGGCTCCTGCTGCCAAGCATGGCTGGGCCTGGCCATGCCACCAGCCTTTCACACCCAGCTCAAGATCTGGGAGCACTGGCAGGGCAGGGACCTCAAAGAGCAGAGGACAGCACAGCTCTGGCAGCCCACCCAGCCCCCCCAGACTGACCCTGGCCCCAAGCCAGACTCCCCACCTTGGGTGCTGCCCTGTCTCCCCATGGCGCACTGTTCCCATTCACCTGCACGGGAGGCACAAACCACACACAGACTGGGCCCTTGGAAACAGCCTCGTGTTTCCTACGAGCTCCAGGTGAGCTCAGTCTCTAGTCCACAGCACCTCTCCAGGCAACTGCCCAACACCACCAATCAGCCCCATGCTGCCCCACTAGGCCAGGGGAGCCCAGCACAGGCCCCTGCCCCAGCCACTGGGTGGCCACACTCCCGGGCAGCCTGTGAACATCAGTGCCCATCCCACCAGCAGCAGCAGAGCCTGGCCTGAGCTGTGCTCAGCCCACCCGGCACCACATTCCGCAGCCTTCGCCCAGCCCCGGCCACAGCAGTTCATTCCAAAATCTATCTGAGAATGTGGGACTAATAAATTAGAAGGCAGCAGCAGCCTCTGCAAGTCCAGCGCCTCCTGCCCCCGCCCACCACAGTGCTGCTGGCCCTGCTCTCCTGCAGTGCTGGTGCTGCTCCCACGCTGCCCAGCCACTCTGCTCCTCTCCCACTCCACACACTACCCCAAGCGGATGCGGAATGTGGCAATTTCCATGGGGTCCAGGTAGATGTTGGTGCTGTTGGAAGCCGTGCCCAGTGGATACATCAGCGTCAGTGAGGTGGGCTGCAGGGAGCCCAGCTCCAGCCCCTGGAACAGGCCTCCCAGGACCAGCTGGGGAGAGAGGAGGGAGAAGAGAGGAGGCCTGGGTGCTGCCTCTGGTGCCTGGGGCAGCACTGTGCCCAGGGCAGCCTGATATGTGGCATGCCAGCCGTGCCGAGGTCCAGCCTGGCTCTGACTCAGTGTGGGTGTGGGGCAGCCTAGCCCTACCTTGCCCTGGCTGGTAGTGCAGTTGAAGCCCAGGTTCTTGGCCTCCAGGCTGCAGTCAAAGCCTTTGCGGTGCAGAATCAGCGCTGCCTCGGTCGAGGGTAGTGAGTCGTCCTGGGGGAAGCCAGGGTGTGAGGCACAACAGTGAGGACAGCAGGGCAAGAGCCCCCCAGAGTCCTGTCACACCCAGGCTGTAGCTCACTTCTGCCTGCAACATCCGCAAGTTAAGGATGTGGAAGTCGCAGGGGAGGGTGGTGGCAAGGGGCACGAAGGAGCGCAGGGCTGGCACGGCTGGCTTCTCCAGCGCCACCGGCATGACCAGGGCCTCGGCATTCAGGTGCATAGAGGTGATGTGGCTCAGCAGGGAGGGGAAACTGATGGGGCGTTCGTCCTGCACCTGCGGAGGAGCACATGGGTCAGCATAGGCCTGGGGAGCCGCAGGGCCAGGCAGAGCCTGGGCAGGGCCCACAGAACGAACCACTGCTCCAGCAGTGCCCCGAGACCAGGCACCTGCAGGCACAGGGCACCCAGAGCTGCCCCCACCCAGGCAGGACTCCCTTCCCCAGCACCCAAACAGGACCCCATCTAGCTGATGCTCAGACTATGGACCTGCTACGGGCCTGGCTAGGCTAGTGGCTAGCAGCTAGTGCACGAGACAGGGAGAGACAGCAGGGCCAGGCCGGCCATTACCTCAGGGCTGCCAGTCCTGGTGCCAGGGAAGCCCAAGGCTTTAAACATGGAGACCAGTTTGGAAAAGAAGCCGGAGCTCTGAATGGGTGACATGGCGCAAGCATAGAGGGCAGCGAGGGGATGGGACAAGAACACTGTGATTACAAGGGCAACGCGGCTCCACAGGGACAGATCCCACTGCACAGGTCCCACCCTCCTCGTGCCCCCTGCTCCAGGCCCATCCCTGCCTAGAGCCAGCACAATGGGACAGGAGGGGAGCAGATGCTGCATCCCATCACACGTGTGGCTTTCTGCAGGTGCCTCCACCCTGCTCCATCCCAAGGCAAGGCTGGGCATTCCCATCCTGTGGCCTCACAGCCCAGGCACCTTGTTGGCAGTGGTGCGGCGCTCCAGGAGGAGCCGGAATCGGTTGCAGGTTCGCTTGTTGTCCTTCAGCCCCTGGCCCAAGCCCCGGTTGTCATCCTGCATGAGGCGCCGGTCCAGGATCACCTCCAGCTGGCCTGTGAAGAGTGGGTCCCCATGCCCCAGGCTTTACCAGGAGCCAGCCACCCCCCATGGCATGGAGCTCCAGAGACAGCAGGACCAGGGCACCCTGTGCCCAGCCTGCAGCACCCTCCTCCCCTACATCCCCTGGGGAGGGGAGCCCCAGCTCTACAGCAGGTCTCCAAGGCATAGGCCTCCAAGACACAGGCCTCCATCTCACCGCTGCGGAGGCTGGAGACTCCCAGGGCCTGGGCTGTGAGCAGCGTCAAGCGGCTCTGCATGTCCTGGATGTAGGCCATGGCAGGCATGGGGTAGAAGTTGGCCTGCAGCGGCAGCTTCCGCTGGTACCTGCGGGGCTGGATCTGTCAAGGGACAGAGGTCAGTGGCCAAAAGTGGCTCCCACAGTGCCCAGCGCTGGGTGTCGGGGAACTGTCCTGCTGTGGGCAGGTGCTGTCCCTCCCTAGGCTGCCACATACCTGGAAACCGTTGAGGTCCGTGAAGAAGGTGTTGTCGCTCTCAATGTCGGTGCTGAAGCGCAGGGCCAGCTCCTTGTTGATGTGGTCACGGATGTCCACCAGGCAGGATACATCCAGGGACAGGCCCTCCACCCCTGTAGGTAGGCAGTGAGGGGCTGGGCCCCACAGGCAGCATTGCCCAGCACCACTGGGCCAGCAACACCCCAGCACCACCTCAGGATCTCACCTGGCACATTGTACAGCCGCACCATGGTCTGAACGTGCTCGTAGTAGCTGGCAACCTCTGAGAAGAGGGGTCCCTCCGTCACCCGCACCACTGGGGGGTTCTTGGGGGTATAGGGCTGGGAGGAAGGAGCGCTGTGCTGAGGCTGCTGCCTGAAGACAGTCCCGCAGGCACAGCTGCCAGCTGGCTAACAGGACAAACCCTATACCTTGGCTTCTCCATCAGGCAGGAAGAGATAGGCCCCACTTTTGTCCTTGGAGGTCCTGGTACCGTAGACGAGGAACTCGCTGCTCACTCTGTGCCCCTGCTCCTCCCCAGCTCCACGTATGCTCTGTGGGTGCGGGCCAGCACAGCCATGAATGCAGAAGGCAGCACGGTGACCCCCTCCCCTCCTCCACTCCAGAGCCCCACATTCACCTGCAGCAGGCCCGAGTGCCCTGAGAAGCAGGCCTGCAGGTGCTGGTTCTCCAGGCAGAAGTCATCGGCAGCAGCCGGGAAGACTTGCAGGGGCACGGCCTCAGGCTTGCGCACAGGCAGGTCCCGACCGTGCAGGTACAGGCGCGTGGAGGACCTCAGCGTGGCATGGCCGTCCAAGGACCTGTGCAGCTGCAGCACACGCAGCCCCAGCGCGGGCAGGCGGGCCAGCACAGACACCTGCAGGCAGTATGGGGACCTGAGCCAGCCCCCCGTGCCTGGGGACGGACTGGGAGTCAGTCAGGCAAAGGCCTCCCCCTCTACTGAGGGGAGACGTGCGTGGGGGCCTGGTGGTTTGACAGCTGTGGGAGCTTGTGTTGTGGGGCAGGGACAGAGCAGGGCTGACAGAGTATCCTGGCAGTATACAGGGATGGGAGGCTGGCATACATGGTATGTGCAGGCTGAGGATGGGGCAGGCAGTGTCACCGGGGCATCCTGTACCTGGTAGACGTCAGGAACCACTTCCGTGGCGGAGCTCCAGGTTGCGCTGAGCTGGAAGGGCAGGGGCTGGCCCTCCTCGGAGAGCACACGCACATGCGGGGAGTCCACCAGCATTGGCACCACACTCAGGCGTTCCTGCTCCAGAGGGTTGAACACCACCAGGAACCTGCAGGGGTCACCAAGGGATGGCATCCCAGCCCCATCACATCCCAGATGCCCAATGCCCCACACTAC